CTCTCTCTCTCTCTCTCTCTCTCTCTCTCAAAAATAAACAAACATTTAAAAATATTTAAAAAAAAAAAGGATATGTTGACACATGCTACAAGATAAAGACATGGATATAAAGACATTATGCTAAGTAAAATAAGCCAGATATAGAAGGACAAACATGATGTGTTTCCTCCTACATGACATACTTAGAGTAGTAAAGTTAAAAGCAGCAGAAAATAATAGCACCAGCCAGTGGCTGGTGTAACAGAGAAATGGGGAGTTGTTGTTTAATGGGTAAAGAACTTCAAGAAGACAAAGTCCTGGAGTTGGATGGTGTTGATGGTTGCAAAACAATATAAATGTACTTCATGACATTGAATTGTACTCTTAAAAATGTAATTTTTAATTGGTAAATTTTCATGTTATGTTTATTTTACCACAAAAAAAATTTTTAGAGTTGCAAAACATTACTAATGCTACTTCCTAATTCTTGCCATATTTAAATTTTAAGTATATGATAGCGGCGCCTGGGTGGTTCAGTTGGATAAGTGTCCAAATGTGGCTCAGGTCATGATCTCATGGTTTGTGAGTTCAAGCCATGCATTAGGATCCCTGCTGTCAGCACAGAGCCTGCTTTGAATCCTCTGCCCCCTCTCTCTCTGCCCCTCCCCTGCTTGCGCTCTCACAAAATAAATAAACTTGAAATAAATAAATAAATATTATACGGTAACAAAAAAGGAAAGGAACCGTTTACTCTTTATTTATTTATTTATTTATTTATTTTTTGTCTTTATTTATTTTTGAGAGAGACAGAGACAGAGTGTGAGCAGGGAAGGGGCAGAGAGAGGGGGAGACACAGAAAGTAGGCTCCAGGCTCTGAGCTGTCAGCACAGAGCCCAATGGGGGAATCAAACTTCCCAACTGTGAGATCATGACCTGAGCGGAAGCCAGACGCTTAACCTTGACCGACTGAACCACACAGGTGCCAGGGAAAGGAAACATTTAGATATATTTTGGTGACCAGACTCTAGTCTACAGACATACTGACCAACTCCAATTAGGTATAAGTGAAAACACCAAGAAATAGTCTTGAGAAGAAAAACAAGATAAAATGGGCCAGCCAGATAACCCCAGATGAGGCTGGATACTCCCCTTGCATACTTTTGGCTTCTGTAATCTTGTTTGCCTCCTGCCTCCACCAACTACCTGTGTAGCACCACTGATAAAGGACCCCTCCCCTTTTTCTTTTGTCTCTCAACCCCCTACCATCCCCAGCCATAAAAGGAGACTGATGCCAAAGTTGGGGCTCAGCCTTTGGAGGTGACTCTGCTAGGCCAGCACTGGTGTGCAATAAACAGTTTTTTGTGATTCCCTGAGTGCATGTGGCTTGTCTCTTCTTAGGCGCCGAGGAGTTGCTGTAACAGTCTCTTGACAATTGCTACCGCACCCTTTATTTTATGAGCATAATTTTAGTGGCTGACACGATACATCAAATTCTTCCTCTGTACAGAATACTCAAGAAAACTTCTTACAATAAATATGAAGCCTACATCAGCACCTTGGATTGGTCACTAGCCAGCAATAAATCATGATAAATAACAGTTAACCCTGTGGTAGACTAATTATAATACTTCAAACATAGGTTATAAGACCTGAAAATATAATTCACTTGTGGAGAGAAGCTTAGCACAAGTAAACCAAGATAGTGTCACAGCAAGATAAAAATAAAATCTCTTGCATATAGAATATATAGTGCATCCCTTCCTCTTTTCCTCAAATTAAGACATCAAATCACTTTCATCTCTGGAAGCATGGCCCTTGATAGAAGGGCCAACACAAGAGCAGGGCATTTCCTTACCTGTCAGAGCAGCCTCTGCTAAGAACCAGAAATATCCCTCATCTTAAGCCTCAACTTTGGGTACAGCTACTGTCACTTTCAAATCGGCTCCTAGAAATAAGTGTTATACCTGGGAATCTCTGTAGTGTAAGAAGGCATCACTGACAGGAAAGACATCTTGATAATGATCTCTTTATTTTCTGCACAACTTAAATGGGGTAATGAAACTCACTGCCAATCATATGAGGAGAGCAGGACAGAGAAACTTCTAAGAGAGTAGTTCTTAACCTTGCCTTGTCTTTCTCTCTTTCTCAAAATAAATAACTTAAAAAAAAAAAAAAAAACTACTCATGCCTGTGTCCCTTCCCTTACCCCTCTTTTGCTCTTAAGATTATGATTCAATTTGGGATTGTGATCTGATCATCAGGATCTTTTTATAAACGCACCACATGAGTAATTTCTATGCAGGGTTGGAAACCATTCTATTAACGGAAGGCAAACTTCCTCATTTGTAGGTCGGACTTCTGGGAATCCTGTTTTGGCCCTCAATTAGCTGCAAAAGCTAATGATTTAAGAGTTAAAATAATCCTGAAAAATTACTAATCCACAGAAGATGTAATCATATTCCATCACTAGAGGGCAAAATTTCTTCACTTTCAATATTATTTAACGTATTATTTCTTCAGGCTTATCATTCAGTTTCCTTTCCTCCTTTGAAAAGGAAGAGGGGCCGGATGATGATGTTTTAAAGAAGGCATGAAGCCTGACTTTCATGAATATCATTCCTTCCTATTTATAAAATCAGGGTTCCAGAGGCTATTATTAAAAGATCTCTGTGTCCTTTCATTTGCATATGCCCCCTTCCTAAAAGGTTTGTATTTTATAGGATGTACTGTTTTTACAGAGTGCATGGCTTTGCTGTATACCCTATCTTACCAAACAGGAGGTGGGGCTTGGCTGTATCTAAGATCTGATTATTTTCTGTTGCATAGAGTCAGAAAATAAATATCTCAGTTTTAAAATCATTTGATTTTTGTATCTTGAAATACAAAGTCTGCATTTCTAACAAGCTCCTAGGTGTTGCCAGTGTTGAGGCTGCTGGTGGAAAATTAACACTTGAGTAGTGGAAGGTGGAAAAGCCAGCGGCAGAAACACAACTCTTCTGAAGATACTTAAAATGTGGACTCCTACTGGTAGTGTTTGTCTGCCTATCCATCTATGATGTATCTATTCCCATGAAGACAGCTCACAAACCTAGTGGATTCCAGATTGGAAATCAGGAGGGATCAGAATCACTTGTTTGCTTCTTAAAAATAAAGATTCTTAGTCCCAACTGCTGGAGATTATGATTAGTAGGTCTGGAGAGGGACATAGACATTTGTATCTTTAACAAGTACCCAGAAGATTTTGCTAGAGCCCTCTGCTTTTAAAAATCACTGTTATTCTTTATCCATGGGATACAAGTATGCTGTTTCAAAGGGACACATGCACCCCCATG